GGAGGGCAGCGCCCAGGCCTCCTCCCGGGTCCTGCGGGGCTGCACGCTGTGGAGGGCGGAGGGCAGCGCCCAGGCCTCCTCCCGGGTCTGCCGCGGCCCGGGACTAGTGCAGTGATAGTGGCCCCGGTCGTGTGGACCTGTGGCCAGGTACTGCTCTGTCGGTGGTGTGATGGAACAGCTTTATCCTTGGGTCACGCTTCCGTGCCTGTGGCCTGCAGTGCCCGGGGCAGAGATTCTGGCCGACTCGAGCCTTGGAGCTCGCAGTTCATTGAGAGAAGCCATCCAGCCCTGGCTGTCTCCCCTCCCTAGGCTAGCAGCTGTTTCCTGCATTCCCTACTAACTTTGCTTGCTTCTAGAGGCTTCTGAAGCTTGTGAGCTTCTGTCAACACTGTGCTGCATCCTAAAAAGAACTCAGTCCTTTTACTCCCCAAACCCAGAGATAGAAGACAAATTGGGCTGGCTGCTAAGACTTGTGGGTAAGGCTTGGGAGGCCCACCCGTCTTCCTGAGAGCTTTCATACCCCTTCCAGGCATTGAGAACCTGCCCTGCGAACTTCAGAGGAACTTCCAGTTGATGCGTGAGCTAGACCAGAGGACAGAAGGTGGGTCCGTCCAGAGCTGACCAGGGAGATGCAGGGTGGCAGAGAGCTTGGGGGGACTCTGCAGTGGAGCCGTAGCCCAGCTCAGGGCATAGTACAGTGTCCTCCAAGGAGTGCTGGTGTTTTTGTTCATAGTAGTTATTATTATTTATTTTTTGTGATAGGCTGTCTCTTGTAGCCCAGGTTGGCCCAGAACTCTGGATCCCCCTTCCTCAGCCTCCTGAGTAGGAATGGGAAGAATGGAACACTGGCACTTTTCTTTTTCTGGCACCTGGATTTGAACACTGGGCTTACTTGCCCATAGCTAGTTTTCTGCCACTTGAGCCACACGTCTAGCCCTGTTTTTTAAGAGATAGAGTTTCTCAGACTTTTCTGCTGGGTACCCTTGAACCATGACCCTCCTGTGCAGTTAGGGTTATGAATGTGAGTTACTGGCAAGCAATGCTTCTGTGTGTGCATGCGTGCAGACACTGTATTCTTTAGCTTTTTATTTACTTATTTTGTGTTGGTCCTGGGGCTTGAACTCAGGGTTTGGGCGCTGTCCCTGAGCTTTTTTGTTCAAGACTAGCGCTCTGCCACTTGAGTCACAGCTTCGCCTCTGGCTTTTGGGTGGTTAATTGGAGATGAGAGTCTCACTAGGGCTGGTTTTGAACCTCAAGCCTCAGGTCTCAGGTCTCAGCATCCTGAGTAGCTAGGATTACAGGCGTGAGCCCTGGTGTCCTGTGTTCTTTTTTTTGTTCACTTTTTTTGTTCACTTGCTTGGCTGGCTTGGGTGCATGCTGCCGTTTGAGCCACAGCTCTACTTCTGGCTTTTTACTGTATAATTGTAAATAAAAGATTCATGGAGCCAGGTGCTGGTGGCTCACCTGTAACCCTAGCTTTTCAGGAGACTGAGATTTGAGGATCGCCATTCAAATCCAGCCTGGGCAGGAAAAAGTCCAGGAGACTCTTTATCTCCAATTAACCACTAGAAATTTCAGAAGTGGCACTGTGGCTCAAGTGGTAGAGCGCTTGCCTTGAGCTGAAGAGCTGAAAGACAGCGCCCAGGCTTAGAGTTTAAGCCCCACGACAAAAAAAAAAAAAAAAGACTCATGGAGGGGTTGGGAAGGTGGCTCAGTGGTAGAGTGCTGGCCTAGCACGCATGAAGCGCTGGCCTTGATTCCTCAATACCGCATAGACAGAAAAAGCCAGAAGTGGCCCTGTGGCTCAAATGGTACAGTGCAAATGGTACAGTGCTAGCATTGAGCAAAAAACAAGCTCAGGGACAGTGCCCAGGCCCTGAGTTCAAGCTCCAGGACTGGCCAGAAAAAGAAAAGGACTTTCCTGCCCAAGCTGGGTTTGATCTAAGATTCTCAGAGATCAGCCTGCTGAGTAGGTTTACATGCATGAGTCACTGGTACCCAGCTTAGCACTGGTACTTGTTAAAGTCAGGTGTAAGCTGGGTGCCAGTGGCTCCATGCCTGTAATCCTATCTACTCAGCCTGGGCAGGAAAGTCTGTAAACCGAAGGTAGTGCAGTGGCTCAAGTGGTGAAGGGGCAGCACCCTATGGCCAGGAAAAAAAAAAAAAAGATTATTTTTGTTACCTTAGTATTTAATTCTTGTTCCTAAACCACATATATTTTTTTTTTTTTTGCCAGTCTTGTGGCCTGAACTCTGGGCCTGGGCGCTGTCCCTCAGCTCTTCAGCTCAAGGCTGGTGCTCTACCACTTGAGCCACAGCGCCTCTTCCGGCTTTTTCTGCTTATGTGGTGCTGACGAATGGAACCCAGGGCCTCATGCATGGGAGGCAAGCACTCTGCCACTGAGCCACCTTCCCAGCCCCTAAACCACATGTTCTTGTCCTTTCTCATTTCTAGTAAGTTTCAGACTTGGTTTAGTTCATTGCAGTTGAAGAACTCCTCTGCACGCCCTTCCATCTGTGGTAGTCTTGTCGTTAGCAGATAGTTAAAACTGCCACCCAGTTGTGTGTTTACCTGACACTTTCTGAATAACTCGATTTCTTGGAGTTGCTGCTTTGTCTGACCTCCAGGATTCCGGCAGATCTGCAGCTCCCTTTCCCAGGCTTTTCTTGTCTGGCTCCAGCCTTCTGTGTATTTGTTGCTCTGGAGTTCTTCCAGGATTTCCTTACCCCACTTTTTTTTTTGTCTTTTGTGTCATTACTGAAACTTGAACTCAGGGCCTTGAGCTCTCACTCATCTTTCATGTTCTAGAGCCATACCTCACTTCAGTCTTTAGGATATTAATTGGAGATAAGAGTCTCATAGATATGTCTGTCTGGGTTGGCTTTGAACTGTGGTGCTCAGCTAGGATTATAGGCATAAGCTACTTTATCCTCTTTGTGTGTGTGTGTGTGTGTGTGTGTGTACACGTGTGTGTACGTGTGTGTGTGTGTGTGTACGTGTGTGTGTGTACGTGTGTACCAGTTCTTCAGCCACAGCTCCGCTTGCAGCTTTTTGATGGTTACTTTTTTCACAGGCTTTGCTGCCTGGACAAGCTTCAAACCATAACCTCATGTCTCAGCCTCCTGAGTAGTGAAGGATTACAGGCGTGAGCCACCAGTTCCTGTCCTGGCTGATTTTGTTTGTTGTTCTTGTTGCCAGTCCTGGGGCTTGAACTCTGTGCCTGGGCTCTGTCCCTGAGCTTCTTTTTCTAAAGGCAAGCACTCTACCACTTGAGCTACAGCACCACTTTCAGCTTTTTCTGTGTATGTGGAACTGAAGAATTGAACCCAGGCCTTCATGAATGCCAGGCAAAGACTACCACCGAGCCACATTCTCAGCCCCCGGCTAATTTTGAAAATGTGATTTTATTGTTGTTATTAAGATGTTGTGTAGAGGAGTTACGTTTCAGAATTGAGGGAATGTGTACATTTTCTCTTCTGGACAGTGTCACCCCTTGCTTAGCTTTCAAGTTTTATTTGTTATTTTTCTGTGATTGTTCTGGGGCTTGAACTCAAGGCCTCACCTGCTCACTGCTGGCACGCTACCACTTGAATCCTGCCTCTAGTGTGACCTTTTTGCTGGTTAACTGGAAATAAGAGTCTGGAGGATTTGTCTGCTTCTGTTGGCTTCAAACTTTGATCCTTAGATCTCAACCTCTTGAATAGCTAGGATTATAGGTATGAACCACCAGGATTTGACTTGGCTTACCTTTTATAAAAAATTTTTTTGTGTGCCAGGCCTAGGGCTTGACTCAGGGTCTGGGCTCTGTTGCTGAGTTTTGTTTTGTTTTTTTTTGGTTGGTTGTGGGGCTTGAACTCAGGGCCTGGATATTGTCCCTAAGCTCTTCAGCTCAAGGCTAGTGCTCTACCCCTTGAGCCAAATCACCACTTCCTGTCCTTGAGCTCTTTTGCTCAGTACTAGGGCTCTATCACTTGAGCCACAGCCTCAGTTCTGGCATTTTGGTTGTTAGTTAGAGTTAAGAGTCTCAGCTGGGCGCTGGTGGCTCACGTCTGTAATCCTAGCTACTCAGGAGGCTGAGATCTGAGAATTGCAGTTCAAAGCCAGCCCGGGCAGGAGAGACTGTGAGACTCCTATCTCCAATAAACCACCAGGAAACCGGAAGTGGCGCTGTAGCTCAAGTGGTAGAGCGCTCGCCTTGAGCTGAAGAGCTGAGGGACAGCACTCAGGCCCAGAGTTCAAGCCCCACAACCGACAAAAAAAAAAAAAAAAAAGAGTCTCATGGACTTTCCTGTCTGGCCTTGATTCTCAGATCTTGCCTCCTGAATAGCTCCGATTATAGGCCTGAGTCCCCAGCCAGTGAGTCTGTTACCATACTCATCAGGCACATAGCTCACATTGCGGCTGACACACCCTTACACCCTTACGCTAGTCATCTTCCCTGTGTGACACTTGGCTATTTGATCCTTTATATATGTGATTTCTTGTTCTTTCCTATTATGAAATTTTTGATGTGTTCCTTTTATTTCCAGTTTTAAGTTTCATGGTAACATGCTGTGGTGTGGGAGAATGCTTTATATATTGGGCTTTTGCCAGATTGGAAACTCTGTTGTTTGTAGTTTGTTGGTGCAGTGTCTTGGGAAAGGGGAAACCTGTGAAATAAGGCATCCATTCAGAAACCAGCATCCAGCATTTGCAGATGGGTTAGCAAATGCCTTTAAGTGAGACTTCTGTTCCGCCTATCAGATGGAGATATTGTTCCTGTGCCTGGAGGTCCATGAGTCCTTTCTAGTCACTCATGTCCTTGCTGCTCTTTGGTGGCAAATCCCCACCTACAACCGGACTTGTCCCTCCTCAACAAGAGCTGAGTTGGGTCTGTCTCTGATGGTGTTAATCTGAGCATGCAGCATGCTTGTGTTTTCATCCATTGTCACCTTTTATGGGATTGTACACATGAATGTGTGTGTGGCTGAATGTATCTGTGCTCTTATTGTGGATTAGATGTGGAGTTGTCTCCTGGTACCTGAGAGCCTATGTCTTTGGGGCACATGACCAAGGGTGGTGTGCCAGGTCCTAGGCAAGATGACCATACAGCGAATCATCCAAGAGCGCAGTGAGCACTTGCTAACAACTCCAGTGGGACCAGCTCTGGGAAAGCTACTAGGCATAAGGCACACTTCACCCCTTGGCTGGTGTTGGTCCACCTTTTCTTTCTTGCCAGTCCTGGGGCTTGAAATCAGGGCCTGGGCACTATCTCTAAGCTTGTTCTGCTCAAGGCTCACACTCTACCACTTGAGCCACAGTGCCACAGTGGTACTGAGGTACTGAGGAATGTAGTACTGAGGAATCGAACCCAGGGCTTCATGCACGCTAGCCAAGCACTCTACCACTGAGCCACAGTCCCAGCCCATGGTCCACCTTTTGTTCAGCACTTAGGTGATGTCAGATTTGCTGTCAGTCTGGTGATACGCAGTGCACCTTGGTACAGGGCTAGTTTCTCACCCATCTCCACCAGATAAGAAAGCAGAGATTGACATCCTGGCTGCAGAGTACATCTCCACAGTGAAGACCCTTTCTTCTGATCAGCGAGTAGAGCACCTGCAGAAGATTCAGAGTGCATACAACAAGTGCAAAGAGTACAGTGATGACAAGGTTCAGCTGGCCATGCAGACCTACGAGATGGTGAGGAGGGGGCAGGGGGTCAGGGGGCCCTGTCTGAGATGGTAAGGAGGGGTCAGGGGTCCTGTCTGAGATGGTGATGAGGGGTCAGGGGTCCTGTCTGAGATGGTGAGGAGGGGTCAGGGGTCCTGTCTGAGATGGTGAGGAGGGGTTAGGGGGTTTCTCTCTGAGACGGTGAGGAGGGGTCAGGGGTTCTGTCTGAGATGGTGAGGAGGGGTCAGGGGTCCTGTCTGAGATGGTGAGGAGGGGTCAGGGGTCCTGTCTGAGACGGTGAGGAGGGGTCAGGGGTTCTGTCTGAGATGGTGAGGAGGGGTCAGGGGTCCTGTCTGAGATGGTGAGGAGGGGTCAGGGGTTCTGTCTGAGATGGTGAGGAGAGGTCAGGGGTTCTGTCTGAGATTGTGAGGAGGGGTCAGGGGTCCTGTCTGAGATGGTGAGGAGGGGTCAGGGGTTCTGTCTGAGATGGTGAGGAGGGGTCGGGGTCCTGTCTGAGATGGTGAGGAGGGGTCAGGGGTTCTGTCTGAGATGGTGAGGAGGGGTCAGGGGTCCTGTCTGAGATGGTAGGGGGTGGGTGGGTAGGATGCTCTCATCTGAGATGGTAGGGGCAGGCTCCAGGGAAAGCTTCCCAGCAGGGAAAGCCACAGCACCTGGTAGCTGTCATCTGAAACTCACATAGTTTTGTTTCTGGGCCTTTTTGTTAATTGGTAGGGGAGCTATTGCAAGTTTTGGGTTTTTTGTTTGGTTTTCTTTTGGCCAGTCCTGGGGCTTGCACTCGATGACTGGGCACTGTCCCTGAGCGTCTTTTGCTGAAGGCTAGCACTCTACCACTTGAGCCACAATGCCACTTCTGGCTTTCTGTGTATGTGGTACTGAGGACTTGAACCCAGGTCTTCATGCATACTAGGCAAGCACTCTACCACTAAGCTACATTCCCAGCCCATTTTTTGTTTTTAATTTAGTGCTAGGGATTAAACCCAGGGTCTCAAACTTGCTGGGCAAGCACTCTACCATTGAGCTCCCAGCTCTTGCATTTTTTTGAGGGGGAGTCTGGTCGTGGGGCCTGAACTCTGGGTCTGGGCACTGTCCCTCAGCTCTTAAGCTCAAGGCTAGTGCTTTATCACTTGAGCCACAATGCCACTTCCGGCTTTTTTCTTTTTGCTTATGTGGTGCTGAGGAATCGAACCCAGGGCCTCATGAATGTAAGGCAAGTGCTCTACCACTGAGCCACCTTCCCAGCCCTCAGCTCTTGCATTTATTTAGTTATTTATTTACAGTACTGGGACTAGACTCAGGGTTTTATGTTGGCTAACCTGGTGCTTTTCCAGATTTTGTGAATTAAATGATTAACTGGGACTTGGATTCAGGCCTCACACTCTTGTTTGACGGTTCTACTCAAAGGTGGAATGTGCCACTCGAGTCACATCTATGTCTATTGCTTTTATTTTAAGCTTTGGTGGTACTGTGATTACTGAACTGAGCCTTGCACTTGCTAAGCATACGCTCTTCTCCTTGGACCACACCCTTTCTTTTGGCTAGTCTTGTGATTTGGCCTTGGGCTGGCCTGGACTATGATCCTACTGTCCATATCTGTGTAGCCGAAATTATAGACCATTACACTTGTCTTACTGGTTGAGATGGAGTCTTGCTAATAGCTGTGTTGCCTATGCTTAATTTGACCAAGATTCTCGTTGCTACTTGCCTCCTGAGTAGCTGGGGTTTACAGACATGTGCCCCCAGACATGGCCCCAATTTTCAAGAAAGGTCCTTTTGCAGGTGGACAAACACATCCGAAGGCTTGATGCTGACCTGGCACGCTTCGAGGCCGACCTGAAGGACAAGATGGACGGCAGTGACTTGGAAAGCGCTGGAGGACGAGGACTGAAAAGCAAGTCTGCTGGTGTTCTCTTTGTTTTATTACTCTGGGACTTGGAAGAATTTTGTTGAAAAGTGGTAGGCACTTAATGAGTCTTGTCCTGCTTCATTCATTCCTGGGAAAATAACGTGGGACTTTATTGTTTTTCAGAAGGTCGGAGTCAGAAAGAAAAAAGAAGTTCCCGCGGTCGAGGCCGGAGGACCTCAGAAGAAGACACCCCAAAGAAAAAGAAGCACAAGGGCGGGTAAGGCGCTCTCTGTGCATTTATGGAGGACGCAGTGTCCTGTTCTCCAGGAAGAGCACCCCGGGGAGCAGCCTCCCGTTCAGGGACTTCTGGCTCTGATGGCTCTGCAGGCGCTGAGCAGAGCTCTGCTCACAGTGACCCTTGAGCAGCACCGGGGCTGCCAGCACGCCTGAACCCCTGGTTCACACAGCATGCCTGAACCCCTTGGCACACAGCAGTGACTCGGTGTTAGCCCTTGTGTGCTGCACTCAGTAACCAGAGAATACTGAGTGCGTGCTGATGGCCATGTAAGCTCTTCCTAAGGAGGCTGACTAGGTATCTATTCTTGTCTTAGTTTTCGTGTGTGTGTGTGTGTGTGTGTGTGTGTGTGTGTGTGTGTGTGGTTGTTGTTGTTGTTGTTGTTGTTTTGGTTTTGGTGCTAAGGCTTGAACTCAGGGCTTAGCACTGTCATGTAGCTTTTTGTCTCAAAGCTGGCACTCTGCCCCTTGAGCCACATCTCCCCTTTTGGCTCGTTGCTGGTTAATTGGAATTGAGAGTATTTTAGGAGCTAGGATTATAGGAATGAGTCAGTCATTGGTGCTCAACTGTTCATCGTCTTAGAAATATATTTGTAGCATGTATTCAGACTATATTACATCTGTTGTATATACATGTCATTTATCTTTTTTTGTGTGTGCTGGTCTTGGGGCTTGAACTTGGCCTGGGCACTAACCCTAAGCTTTTTAAAAAGCTCAAGGCTAGTGCTCTACCACTTGAACTACACCTCTACTTCTAGCTTTTTGGTGGTTCATTGAAGATAAGAGTTTTGGGGACTTTCCTGCCCAAGCTGGCTTTGAGCCTTAATCCTCAGATCTCAGCTCCTAAGTCGTTCGGATTACAGGCCTGAGCCTCTGGTGTTCAGCAGTGTCCTTTGTCTGGAACTTCAGGTTATTGTCTTGCTGGCACCCTCCTTCACAGGTCCTGTGCTGCTTTGCGAGGTGAAAATGGTTCTAGCAGTTCTGGGAGAGGTCCAAATAGTCTTATTGACAAAAGGAGGGAGAAATCCTGATGTTTATTTATTTATTTTTGGTCAGTCCTGGGGCTTGAACTCAGGGCCTGGGCACTCTCCCTGAGCTTCTTTTACTTAAGGCTAGCACTCTATCACTTGAGCCACACCACTTCTGGCCTTTTCTGCTTATGTGGTACTGAGGAATCGAACCCAGGGCTTCATTCATGCTAGGCAAGCACTGTACCACTGAGCCACATTCCTAGCCCTAATTTTTTTTTTTAATGATGGACTCCAGGGCCTTGCATATGTTAAGTGTGTACTGTATTACTGATCTTAAAAAAGATTTTGGCTGGGTGCCGATGGCTTGTGCCTATAATCCTAGCAGCTTGAAGCCAACCCAACAGAAAGGTCCTATTAGACTCTTAATCTCCAACTAAACATTCCCCCCTTCTCACCCCCCCACCCCCCGCCACGCACATGACCAGTACTTCTGTAGTGGGTGTTCTGTCCACGTGTGCTTTCCCAGGTGCATTTCCTAGAACTTTTTAGTCTTGTGAGTTTTAACCTTTGTTTTTCCACACCTCACCATTCTATTCCTTCTTCTTTCCTTTCAAGATGGATTTTGCTGTGTTGCAGCCTCAAATACCTGAGTTTGTGCATGCTGCTCTACCTAACTTATATTTAACATTTAATTGTTTTTGTGTAGTTTTTATGGTGCTGGGCATTGAACCTGGGGCTTTAGGGAAGGCTATGTAATCTTTGCCACTTTTCTGTTTGAGGACCCAGATTAGATGGCTTGAGTTTCTGGAGGGAGCTGTGCCCATGGAGCAGAGCGTATGGCGCGCTTCCTTCCTATTCAGAATCCCACTTTTGCACCTGCGCAGCTCTCCTCCTCCGCTCAGCGGAATTCCAGTGTGATTTTGGGAGTGTGTGGTTTCACATGCGCCTGCAAAGCTGAGCGCACACTTCGTCACAGACTACATGGCCTGAGGGTGATGCTATGGGCTGGGGATGCCTGTTTGTGCTGTGGTCTGTCCTTGAGGCTGTGGATGGAGAGCAGGTTGGGGGTGGTCATGGCGTAGCTGGGGTTTCTAGTTTTAGAGCACCTATTACATTCCTTTCCTCTTTTTTTAAAAATAGCTTTTGGTTATTTTTTTGCAAATTACCCACATTTGTGTGCATTTCATTTATGTTTCTCTAACATTGATGGTAGCTCTTTAAAGTGCTCTTCTGCAAATCTAACATCTAATATCAGTGTCTACCTACGTAGACCAGTTCCTTGTTTTTGATTTTTTTCTCTTGATTTGAGTCCTCTTTTCCTGCTTATTTCAGGTCTTACGGTTTTTATTTTTTTGTTGGTACCAGTCTTGGAGCTTGAACTCAGGGTCTTGGCACTCAAGGCTGGAGCTCTACCACTTGAGCCACAGCTTCTTTTTTGGTTTTTTTTTTTTTTGCAATTAATTAGAGATAAGAATCTGATAGACTTTCCGGCCTGGGTTGTCTTCAAACTGTGACCCTCGGCTCTCAGTCTGCTGAGTAGCCAGGATTACAGGTGTGAGCCACTGGTGCCTGGCAGTCTTCTGTCTCATGTTAGCTATAGAAGGTGTGCGTACTGAACTTCTGTTTTTCCTCAGGGTACATTTCTCTTCTCCAGTCCAGGCAGACTGAACTGGTGGTGGGTGGCACCGGCAGGAGACCCGACAGTGTCACATGGGACCTCCTGGCTGTGGGCCGACAGCACAGGGAGCCTCAGGCTTGCCCTCCCCGAGGCTGCCTGGCCTACTCCCACTGCTTCCCAGGTCTCCGGCGGCCTGGCCCAGCAGTGCAAATGGTCTCCGTCTCCCAGAGTCTGTGAAGACCTGGCCACAGACTGGTTTGGAGGTAGCTTTGGAGGGCCTCCAGCTCCACCAGGCCGGGAGCCAAGCAGATTTCCTTCTTGGCTGCAGGGCACAAGGCACTCAGCCGTGTTGCCCCAGTGCTTCTGAGGTTTGCCGAGCAGGCTGGGAAGGTGGCTCAGTGGTGGAGTGCCTCCCTAGCGTGCATGAAGCCCTGGGTTCCACTCCTCAGTATCACATAAATAGAAAAAGCTGGAAGTGGCGCTGTGGCTCAAGTGGTAGAGTGCTCGCTTTGAGTAAAAGGACACTGCCTAGGCCCTGAGTTCAAGCCCCAGGACTGTTTAAAAAGAAAAAAAAAAGTTTGCTGAGCTGTGCTATCCTGTTTCAGCACACGGAATCTCTGCTTCCTCCTGCCCAGAATCCAAAGGCTATCATGGCCTCCGGGGCTTGTGCAGGCCTTGCTCATTTCATCCTCAGAGCACGTGTGGCTCTGGGATCCGATTGCCAGCCTCCAGATGGTGGCAGGCCCAGGCTGCTCTCAGGCACCTCGGGGTGTCTGCAGACACACAGCTGGGCATTGGCAGTGTGGCCCCTCTCCCAGTGTGAATTGAGGTCTTCTGCCTGGCATTCACAGCTGCCTACTAGTGGGCGATGGTGGCATGGCCACTGGTTCAGGCCTGTGCTAAGCTGATGTCAGCAGCCGCGGTGGGGCTGGTCCATGGTGAGGGTGCCTGCTGTGGCTGGCTGCGTCCAGTGTTGATGTGTGGGTCGCTCTCTTCTCCCTGGCTCTCAGTGGCGGCAGCGTTCCTGTTATTTCATAGACCTCCAGGCAGGCCACTGCAGTGCACTCTTTTTTTTTTTTTTTTGGGTCCGGTCGTGGAGCCTGAACTCTGGGCCTGGGCGCTGTCCCTCAGCTCTTCAGCTCAAGGCTAGCGCTCTACCACTTGAGCCACAGCGCCACTTTCGGCTTTTTTTTCTGCTTATATGGTGCTGAGGAATCGAACCCAGGGCCTCTGGCATACAAGGCAAATGCTCTACCACTGAGTCACCTTCCCAGCCCCTGCAGTGTACTCTTCTGGGCACCCTCCTGAGAAGGGGTATCAGGAAGGACAGTCAAACGGTAACAAACCCCACTCTTACCAGGACCTAGTGGGGCCTGCCTGTCATTGGCCTGGTGTTCTGCCCATGTCCTCGAGAGCCCTGTGTACAGGGGAGTTCATCGGCTGGCATAGGTGGTGCTGCAGTCTGCAGAGTCTGTTCCCAGGGCATCTCGCAGGATGCTCAGCCAGCATCCATAGTTCACTCCCACCTGGCCCAGGCTGTCCCCAGGCCTCTCAGCTGTTTCCCGTCTGTGAGACCCTGTGAGACCCTGTGAGCCCAGGCTGTCCCCAGGCCTCTCAGGTGTTGTTTCCTGTCTGTGAGACCCTGTGAGCTCAGGCTGTCCCCAGGCCTCTCAGGTGTTGTTTCCCGTCTGTGAGACCCTGTGAGACCCTGTGAGCTCAGGCTGTCCCCAGGCCTCTCGGGTGTTGTTTCCTGTCTGTGAGACCCTGTGAGCTCAGGCTGTCCCCAGGCCTCTCGGGTGTTGTTTCCTGTCTGTGAGACCCTGTGAGCCCAGGCTGTCCCCAGGCCTCTCGGGTGTTGTTTTCTGTCTGTGAGACCCTGTGAGCTCAGGCTGTCCCCAGGCCTCTCAGGTGTTGTTTCCTGTCTGTGAGACCCTGTGAGCTCAGGCTGTCCCCAGGCCTCTCGGGTGTTTTTCGTCTGTGAGACCCTGTGAGCCCAGGCTGTCCCCAGGCCTCTCGGGTGCTGTTTCTTGACTGAGACTCTGCAGCTGAGGCTGCTGCCCATAAGATAGGACCTAGATGTAGGAATGAAGGAGGCCACCAGGAGCTTTGGGAATTAAGAAGTGGCACTGTGGCTCAAGCAAGGGGTAGAGCTGAAGAGCTCAGGGACAGCACCCAGGCCCAGAGTTCAAGCCTCATAACTGACCAAAAAAAAAGGAAAAGAGAGAGAGAAAAAAGAGGAGCTTTGGGAATTAGACCTGGGTCCTCTTTCTGGTTCAGTCTATCGTTGGGACAAGGGCCAAGTGAATTGGCAGGCAGATTCTAAGAGCTTGGATCGCCTAGCCCTGTCTGAGGAATAGGTGCTGCCCAGGGGTCTCCGGCTGGGGGGCCCCCTCAGCCTGTTTTGCTGTCATCTCCTGTGTGCACCCCCCTTCTGGCTGACACCCTTGAACCCCGGAATTCTGAGCACGGGTGGCCAGGCAGCACATGGCAGGGAGGAAGCACACCACAGGGTCTTGGAGGGTCTGCCTCCTCGGAGGTTCCAAGACCATGGAGCCAGGAGGCCTTCCGCAGCGGGAGCAGACAGACACCCACCTGGAGGACCCTGAGGACTTGCTTGATCAGGGCAGTGTTAGCACTCAGGTTTCAAATGTGGTACAGACACGGGGTAGAGAGCTGGTGACCTGCAGGGGTCCTGCTGTGCAGTGGGCCTGAATGGATATGTACATTACACACACATGCAACTGAAGGGCCTGGGAGCATTTGGAAAAGAATGCAGAGGAGAGAGTGGCTCACCTCCGTCTTCTTCCCCGCTGCTCCTGTGCCTGGCCTTCTCTGCTGTAGCCTCATCGGAACTAACTGTATGGTTTGGCGATATGTATTTGTGGGTTTGCCGGTGGGGTGAGGACTGGACTGTCTAGACCTCCCTACAGCTCGCGCACATACCTGAGAACACAGGCAAAGAGGAAGCTGCCCATGGGCACAGCCCTTGCAGCTCCAGAGTGTGTTTGTGACTGGGTACGGGGAAAGCAGGCAGGAGGGAGCCTGGGCAGGTAAGCTTTCCACAGACAGCTGCTAGAAAGTTGGACGGCAGCTGTGAGGAGCGTTGGAGGTGGCTCCTGAGGTAGGGGAGTAGTGGGTGGGTCGATAGCATCCTGGGAGTGAGGGCCCACAGGAAGCCAGAGGAGCTGCCTGGGTGTGGTATTGGAAGGTGCCTGTGCAGATGCAAAGTGGTCTGGACACAGGACATGCTGGCCTTGTGGCAAGGACTGTCTGCTCAGGCTCAGGTACAGGTGGCAATGCCCCAACCCCTGGTCAGCCTGTGGGTATGCCAGTTGGTATGCTAGCCAAGGAGGGCTAGTACAGAGGGGAAGGGCCTGGGGCCACCAACAGCACCATGGCCTGGAGGCTCCTTTGCCCTGCACCGGCACTGGCAGGGCCATGCCACAGCCTCTGGGCGCTGTGTCCTTGACACCCTTGTGACTTGGTGAGTGGGGGCCGTACCCTCCCCCTCTGGTGCGTCGTTCACCCCCCTGTCCCAGGTTTTGCGGTCGGTGATGATCCGAGGGAACTGTCTGACAATTTGCTCACGTTCTTACACATTTTTTTCCTGTTTTCAAGAGTGTTGTGCAGTCAGAGGGGTTTTGTGACTTTTGTTGAAAGTGCATCTCAGAAACAAACACTGGAAATGTCTTCAGGCTCAAGTGTCAATCAGGAGATGCCAATCAGGAGATGGCAGTCAGTTGGTTCACCTGGACTAGTCCACAGAACCTGCTTAGATTCCTGCTTGGAGCCTTATTTGTCTTCAGACATAGCAAAAGGGAGCCTTGGGCCCACACACGCAGGAGGCCCTGGGCTGTGCCTGGTCCGTCATGCCTGCCCTCGTCACCCCGTGCTCAGCACACTCTTCCCACCCTCAGGTCTGAGTTCACCGACACCGTCCTGTCTGTGCACCCCTCTGACGTCCTGGACATGCCCGTGGACCCGAACGAACCTACGTACTGCCTGTGCCACCAGGTGTCCTATGGGGAGATGATTGGCTGTGACAACCCAGATGTGAGTGTCTGGGTCTCGGGACAGATGTTGTGGGGTGGGAGTGGGGTATAGCTCCCTGTCTTCAGCATGCAGAGTGACTGAGGCTCTCTTCTTTTTTCAGTGTCCGATTGAGTGGTTTCACTTTGCCTGTGTGGACCTCACCACGAAGCCCAAAGGAAAGTGGTCAGTATGTGGGTACCTGTTTTGCTTGTGTCCTTGATCTTAAGGGCCTGGAGCTGGGTTGGCTTCCCCTGCAGCCTTGGGCGAGCCTCTCCAGCCTGGAGCTGGGCTGGCTTCCCCTGCAGCCTTGGGCGAGCCTCTCCAGCCTGGAGCTGGGCTGGCTCCCCTGCAGCCTTGGGCGAGCCTCTCCAGCCTGGAGCTGGGCTGGCTTCCCTGCAGCCTTGGGCGAGCCTCTCCAGCCTGGAGCTGGGTTGGCTTCCCCTGCAGCCTTGGGCGAGCCTCTCCAGCCTGGAGCTGGGCTGGCTTCCCCTGCAGCCTTGGGCGAGCCTCTCCAGCCTGGAGCTGGGCTGGCTTCCCCTGCAGCCTTGGGCGAGCCTCTCCAGCCTGGAGCTGGGCTGGCTTCCCCTGCAGCCTTGGGTGAGCCTGAGCCAGCCTGGAGCTGGGCTGGCTTCCCCTGCAGCCTAGGGCGAGCCTCTCCAGCCTGGAGCTGGGCTGGCTTCCCCTGCAGCCTAGGGCGAGCCTCTCCAGCCTGGAGCTGGGCTGGCTTCCCCTGCAGCCTTGGGCGAGCCTCTCCAGCCTGGAGCTGGGCTGGCTTCCCCTGCAGCCTTGGGCGAGCCTGAGCCAGCCTGGAGCTGGGCTGGCTTCCCCTGCAGCCTTGGGCGACCAGCCTGGAGCTGGGCTGGCTTCCCCTGCAGCCTTGGGCGAGCCTCTCCAGCCTGGAGCTGGGCTGGCTTCCCCTGCAGCCTGTCTGCCTCTCAGCTCTGCTGTGTAGTCCCACTATTGCTGCAGTTCCCGTCCTGGCTAGTAGGGGTGGGGCAAACTTATAGGGACATCTGCCACCCAGCTCCCCTAGGGACATGTTGTTAAGTTTTTGTGTTTATACTACTGTTCCCTAAAGAAGAGCTGTTCTGGCTTCTTTTGGTGGAAGTGCTGGGCATGGAGTTCTGCCAGGGCATCGTGTCCTCTAGGCATGTGCTCTACTGCTAAGACACATCCCATCCTCTTGAACTCTGGGCCTGGGCGCTGTCCCTGAGCTCTTCAGCTCAAGGCGAGCGCTCTACCACTTGAGCTACAGCACCACTTCCGGTTTTCTGGTGGTTTATTGGAGATAAAAGTCTCACGGACTTTCCTGCCTGGGCTGGCTTTGAACTGTGATCCTCAGATCTCAGCCTTCTGAGTAGCTAGGATTACAGGCGTGAGCCACTGGCGCCCGGCTATTAAATAAAATCTTGGTTTTGTTGATTTGCACTAAAAGTGGATGCACGTTCTTAAACTGAAAGAGCAGGAATCCTACCCTCTTCATATAGTGGCACACAGAGCCAGTCATGTAGTCTGCTTGCTGTGCAGACAGACAGAAATTTCTGCAGGACAGTCTGTGGTCAGTGAGGGTGAGTTTTCCTTTGGTATTGGTGCAAGGCTCACAGAGGGAAAGGAGGGCTCCCAGGGCACCCACCGATGTGTGTGCCCACCGATGAGTATGGTGAACACCAGGGCACCCGCCGATGTGTGTGCCCACCGATGTGTATGGTGGGCGCCAGGATGCACCCTGGCGCTCTGCCTCATGCATGGTCGGGACAGATGGCAGGGCTCCCAGGGCACCCGCCGATGTGTGTGCCCACCGATGAGTATGGTGAGCGCCAGGATGCACCCTGGCGCTCTGCCTATGGCAGGGCGTGGGAGGGTCTGTCAGCAGCCACCTTCCCATAGGGCCCTGCTTCTGATGGGTGACAACTCTGAGCTGAGGAAAGGGACGCAGAGGAAAGAGCAGACCTGTATGCCGGGGCCAGGGCACAAGGCAGGGAGAGCGGATTCTGAGTTTGATTTGAACAAAGTGAGTCTGTTTTTTTTGGTCCTCCTTGGTGCTTGAACTCTGGGCCTGGGCGCTGTCCCTCAGCTCTTCAGCTGAAGGCTAGTACTCTACCACTTGAGCCACAGCGCCACTTCTGTTTTCTGAGTGGTTTATTGGAGATGAGTCTCATGGGCTTTCCTGCTTGGGCTGGCTTTGAACCACCATCCTCAGATCTCAGCCTCCTGAGTAGCTAGGATGACATGCATGAGCCACTGGTGCCCGGCTACAAAATGAGTTTTTTACAGGACTTCCAGGTAGGAAAGTCTTAACAGCAGTAGGAAGGTGGGTCTGACTGTGAGAGCCTATAAGCCTGGCAGTGGCACAGTCTTGGATGTAGCACTAGGCAGAGCAGCCGGCTAGACAGAGTGGAGGGCTAAAGTGCGTGTGTTGGCTAAGCAGTGAGATCTGGAGCTGCTGACTGACACAGTGCTGTGTAGTCCAGGCCTGCTGGCTGACAGGTGCTGTAGTGCGGGCCTGCTGGCTGACAGGTGCTGTAGTGTGGACTTGGTGGCTGACAGGTGCTGTAGTGTGGACATGGTGGCTGACACAGTGCTGTAGTGTGGACTTGGTGGCTGACACAGTGCTGTAGTGTGGGCCTGCTGGCTGACAGGTGCTGTAGTGTGGGCCTGCTGGCTGACACAGTGCTGTAGTGAGGGCCTGCTGGCTGACAGGTGCTGTAGTGTGGGTCTGCTGGCTGACACAGTGCTGTAGTGTGGACTTGGTGGCTGACAGATGCTGTAGTGTGGACTTGGTGGCTGACAGGTGCTGTAGTGTGGGCCTGCTGGCTGACAGGTGCTGTAGTGTGGGCCTGCTGGCTGACACAGTGCTGTAGTGAGGGCCTGCTGGCTGACAGGTGCTGTAGTGTGGGTCTGCTGGCTGACACAGTGCTGTAGTGTGGACTTGGTGGCTGACAGATGCTGTAGTGTGGACTTGGTGGCTGACAGGTGCTGTAGTGTGGGCCTGCTGGCTGACAGGTGCTGTAGTGTGGGCCTGCTGGCTGACACAGTGCTGTAGTGTGGACTTGGTGGCTGACAGGTGCTGTAGTGTGGACTTGGTGGCTGACAGGTGCTGTAGTGTGGACTTGGTGGCTGACAGGTGCTGTAGTGTGGACTTGGTGGCTGACAGGTGCTGTAGTGTGGGCCTGCTGGCTGACAGGTGCTGTAGTGTGGGCCTGCTGGCTGACAGGTGCTGTAGTGTGGACTTGGTGGCTGACAGGTGCTGTAGTGTGGACTTGGTGGCTGACACAGTGCTGTAGTGTGGACTTGGTGGCTGACACAGTGCTGTAGTGTGGACTTGGTGGCTGACAGGTGCTGTAGTGTGGACTTGGTGGCTGACAGGTGCTGTAGTGTGGACTTGGTGGCTGACAGGTGCTGTAGTGCGGGCCTGCTGGCTGACACAGTGCTGTAGTGTGGGCTGTTGCTCCTGCATAGGTACTGGGGGGTTCTTGCTCCAAGCAAGGGTGTACAGAGGAGTATGAAGGTAGTTGTCATGTGCAAGTGAGTACTTCCTGCACACAGAGCCAACTCCACCCTCCTGTGTGTTGTGAGTAGCTGGTGTAGTTCAGCAGTGCCCGCCGCCTGTGCCACTGGCATGCTTCCCGAGTGCTGGGCTTGTGCAGCTCCCGAGCCCGGTGCTGAGTCCGGGACCTGACAAGCCTACTTACTTGTTTGGCCCTCAGCATGCCCATGCCCCTAGACACCTTCACCATCTAGCTACAGCCCTGTGCTGCAACCCTGTAACCAGCTTTATGTATTCCATCATGAGGCTGTCTGGTGCGCCTCTATGACATCCAAGCACAGACAGATTCTTGTGGCAGCCTTCCCCGGAGGGAAGACGGCGTGGGCTGTGGAGTAGCTGTCTTCATCCTTGTCTTGCCAGAGGCCACTGTCCTGGGGCGTGGGGGGGGGCGTGGTGTCTTGGATGCTGCAGAAGTGACACAAAGGGCCGATCCCTGTGCCTTTCTCGTCACAGGTTCTGTCCAAGGTGTGTTCAGGAAAAGAGGAAGAAGAAGTAAGGAAGAGACTGTGTCCAGGTTGAAGAGCAAATTAATATATTCCTTCCTTCATGTTGCAATATTTTTTTAATTTTAAAACGACCTTATTTCAACTGATACTTCATAACTAATGGCCAGTTACGATTCTGGATATTTTCTAAAACAAGAAACCACCACACCCTGTTTTCACAGATGAGCAGTCTCAGAAGTATTTGCCACAGCAACTATGTACAGACCCCCTATTTCTGGCCGTGGCTGCCTTCAGGCCAGCCTGGGACCATGGGTGGGTGTTTGTAAACTCAGGCTGCCAGGCAGAGTATGTGGTGGAGACATGTGAACCCGGCATACTGCCTCTGTTTTGTGACCAGAATCAGCCTGAGTGACCACCTGCTACTTCCTGGTGCACCAGGAAGACTTTCTGCCGCTCTGTGAGCAGTGATGCCCCAGAGCTTTGCTCTCATCTTGACTCTGGTGGCACGGATTCTTAGACAGGACACCTCTGATGTGCCTGGAAGGGCAGGGCTCCCCCAGAGGACGTGCTCCCGCCTCGAGGTGTGCCGACTTTCAACATGGACTTCCCCGTCCCCTGGAGATTCACGGCTCGCCGTCAGCCTCAGCTGTTGGTTGCCACCGTCAGCACTGCCAAGCACGCCTAACCACTGGGCTGAAGTCCGTTTCTCTGGGAATTCCTTACACTTCTACTGTGAAGATGAAATTATTGTAATAGCATGAAGGTCGTGGGTCTGTGTGTCTATGAAGTGAGTCTGTCTACTACGAGCTGGTTTTAGAACTCTGTTTATGTTGCATACCACTAGACCAGCAGCTTATAGCCAAGGGGAATACAATTATGTGACTTGATTTGTGAACTCATGTGCCCAGTAGTTCTGGAATGAAGGTAGATAGATATACTTGTTTATTCTGCATTCACCAAATCAATGTTGAACAGTCCTTTTGGTAATAGTTGGAGAAAATACACTTTGCCTGTTGAGATACATTTGTGGCAGTACCCAGTGAGGGGCCTTCGCAGACCCTGCCCTCCTCTAGTGTGGATTGCGAGCCTGGCCCATCCTCACACAGGAAGGGAGCTGGGGTGTGGGATTCCCATCCTGAGAAGGGAGGGCTTCCTCTGTGTGCGAGGGCCCTTTCCATCTGGTGGTCACACTTCTATTCTAGTACCCTCCCCTTCCACCTTACAGCTCTTCACTGATAGCCAGAGAGCCCCACAGGTCAGCTCGTGTGTGTGAGAATGCTTTGCCAGTGGCACGGGCACTGTGATTCTCCAGGTTCTGTTCCTGGGTGGTTGGTCAGGGCTGACAGCCAGCCAGGCGGCCTGTGCTGCATTGGTTAGCGGTGCTGACCCTTCCACAGTGGCCCATGGGCAGCCAGGGGCATCTGTTGGAGTAGCTCATCCATGTTGAGTCCTCCGGGCTTCCTTTAGATGGGCTGATGCTTTCCTGTAGCTCAGAAAGGAAAGGGCCCTTAGGTCAGGGCTGGAGGACCCATCTCATTCTTAGCCATGCATGAAACTGAGATACGTTTTTAAATTCATAAGACCATTTTGTTGACACATATTTCAAGATTAGGGAAAATCAGTGTGAGAACAGGATTTCTCTTTTTTTCCTGGTGCTGAGGTCAGACCCATGAGATCTTGTACATGCTTCATTTTTTTTTTTTTAAACAGGTGTCCCTTTGTAGTACAGGCTGGCCTCAAACTTCCCATCCTCCTAGCTCAGCCTCCTGAGTGCATGCCCAGCTACTTTGTCATTTTTATAAGCGCAGGAAGTTTCTGACCAGACACTGCCTTAGGAGCTGAGTCAGTCAGCTTCCTCCTGGGTGTCTCTGTCCTGTCATCACTGGGTTGAAATGCTGTTCATTGGTGGAGGTGCTGGAAGGCTGGTTAAATTTTGTCTTCAGCTTCCCGAGGCCCAGCCATATTCCCTGAGCCAGGCAAGAGGCTTCTCCATCTCCCACATGGTGGCGGAACCTCCTCCTGCCACTGTGGATGGACACTGCGGATCGGCTTTTACTTTTGTCGGTTACAATAATGTCAAAACAATATGCGCACACTTGAAAACAGGTTTGGGGATTCAGTAGTAGAGAACTTACCTAGCAAGTATGAGGCCAGTGCTTAACTTCATCACCAACAGAAAACAGGATAAGAAGAAAACATGGCTGTCATTTGGTACCTGATAGGACCCCTGTCCTGACTGTCACTACCTTCTGCAAGCAGGAGGCACTTGGGAGAATGGCCACAGTTTGAAAAGGATGTGGCACTGCAGGACGTGGGCGTATGCCACCGGGCCTGTGGCTCACTCCTGGGTCTGACCCCCTGTGTTTATGAGGCGTCCAGGCTTAGTGTGGGGCAGATCCTCCCCGGGGGAGGTGTGCAGCCACCTGCATCTTGTGGACTGAGGGGATTTGAGCCGAACCCTTCATGTCCCATCACTGGCAGCTGCCTTTCCTGTGCCAGGGGTATGCATCGCTTAGCTTGAGGTTCACCAAAGTGCAGAAGTGTCTTTTTCCTTAGAGGGGGAAAAAAAATCAAGTGATTTCCCTTATTTTCAGCATCACATTATCAGTCAGCAGTGAAGGGATTCTTGCAGTTGTCTTGTGGGAAAAGCAATATGATGTATTAAAAAGCTCAACTGAGCCTCCAGATCTGTAAATGTGCTAGTGGTTTGTGGCCTAGATCAAACAGTGAGCTGTAGCCGGGCAGTCCTGTCCATCCTGCAGGCTGGGGCCTCTGGGCCTGGCAGGTGCATGTAAAGCAGCATGAACCAGCCCCCAGCTTTCTGTTTTCCAGTCTGCAGGAAGAGCCATGCTGGCAGGAAGGCTTGTGGGTAGTGGCAGCCCACCCAGCACCCAGCACTCTGCCTCCTCACCTGTCCCCGGAACTCTTTACAGGACCTGCTTTGAGCAATAACTGTCCAGAGAGCAGCTTTCTCCTGTGACTGTGGAGCCAAGAGTCAGCCCTTGTAACACTAAGGGCTTGGAGGCTAGGTCTCATGGTTTGAAATGATGAGGGATGTTTATTTCGTTTTCTTAGATTTTCCTAGATTTTTAGCCAGCAGTGATTGTTCATTTCCTGTGCTGAGAGTTTAAAGCAGGGGAAGATTAAGAAGCATGTTTTCCTCAAGCGTCTGGAAGTGTCTCCTCGATCTGTTTGTGGTTTCTTTCACCACACTCCATCCAAAGGGATGATGCAGCTTTAACGTGAATGTCACATCCTAATTTCAAGGGATTAGTACCTATGTTCCCTTTGTACAGAAGAGATGTTATTGTAAATCTTTTTATTAAATAATGTAAAGTTGTATATCTGTATTTTTGGATCATGTTATAGATTATGGATATATTGTTTAATAAAGTATTTTTGGAAACAAAAACTTGGAAGTGAATCATTTTGGTGCCGCAACTCTGAACGCGGGCTGTGAGCCGGGGCTGGGTGGGGCCTTCCTGGCCTGGGCCCCCGGGCCTCACGGAGCATCACAAACTGGTCAAGGAGGCCGTGTGCAAGCGTGGGGTCGTCCTGGGTTGCTTCATGGCGCGTGCTTGCTGGACGCAGGAGTGTCAGGACCCCTTGGGAACTGTTCAGGGTGGACGACTGCCACCAAACGCCCTGGACCCGACGGCGGTGCGGGGCTCGGAGCGGGACGGGACGCCGGGCACGCCGCGCCGGCCCGGCCGAGGCTTCCG